TTTGAGGAGGTACATGGGTCTGATCTTTTCATCAGAGACACTGGCCAGATGCTGCAACCTGTTTTAAGCACAGGTCTAAGCTTGATTTTAAGCCTGGGAGCTGCACTGTCAAATGAGGCAGGATGTAACTTGCTAGTGGGAAGATTCATGAATTAATCATATTTCTGGATGCCCATTGAGTGCTCACATGTCAGAGGAGACTTGGAAAAGATCCAGTCCTTGTTCCTAGTTGCATGCAACCATCAGCTGTTCTACCAGGGCAGTGCAAAACTCTCCTCCTGGTACCTAGGAAAGATGGGAGTAATCTCTGTACTGAATAAAGAGCAGAACAGATCATCAAGGTTTCCTACACCATGTTGATGCCCATGCTGCTTCATGAGCCATAACTTCACCACCAGGCCCCCACAGAAGCTGGAGGCTGATTCAGGGCAATCCCTTCCACATTGGAATTTTCCCACAAGGGAATTGCACCTACAAAGCAGGAGGGGTGCCTTTTTCTGGAAGAAGAGTATCTGTGCAATAAATTATGCTCCCAGTTTAAATTTCTGTTTCAGGAATCTTAGCTTTTGTGCATAAATGCATGGATAAAATAAAATGGATGCAGTAATTCTTTTTCTCAAAAGCCTCTCTCTGTTTTGTACACATCTGAAGTTAGTCATCTCCAGGCTATGTTAAAGTTTATTAATATCTTCGCTTTGTTGCCTATTGCCCATCACAATTTTTTTGGGAGGGAAATAGAGTTCTTCTCCCTTATATTTTTAGCAGTCAAATGAAGATTTTTATCTATAAGATCTAATGTAAGCATCTCTGGCAGCAAGCCAAGATCTAGTTATTAAAAAAAAAACAAACCTGCAGTGTTTGTTCCTTTCAAATAACAGCTGTCTGCTCTAATTTGTGCAATTTCATTAGCCAGATCCTTTTAATTAGAGTACTCTTATTTAAATGGATGTCTGGCTGGAAATCCCACCTGTCATCCAGCAAGCGCAGGGCCAGATCTGGCCTCCCAGGGAAAGAATACAAATTCTGCCACTAAACCAAATGGGTGCATGTTTTCAGTTTGAAGGTCTTGCATCTGCAGAGGTCTGTGCACATAAATCAGTTTAAGCAAGTAAGAAGGCCAAATGGAGATGGGCAATGTGGTATAGAAATGCATAAATTAGGGAAGCAATGTGAGCTTAGGAAAACGCTTCGATGGGGTGCTCTTTGTGAGGGTACACAGGGATGTGATGAGCTTTACCCAAGAACAGAGCAGCAGTCACTTGTGTCACACCGGGACAGAAGAAACCTCATGAGTCTTCAAATGGGCCAGACTCAGCTTCAGTGGACTGGAAAGGAGAAAACCCCTGGATTTCCCTGGAAAGTCCACTAAGTTTGGCTACACCTTATCACACATCTTTAAGCATAACTTGAAGTCCACATTTATTCAGCAGTCGTGCTCTGCTTGCTCATGGATTTGAGCAACCATCTGGTGCACTTATTCAATTGAACTGGGGACTCTAACTTGAAACTGGGGACTTTGGCAGCATTCTTCTGCCATCCGAGGAAAGAAAAGGTTGGTAACCTCTCAGATTAATTGGCACCTAAAGATCATTATAACTCAGTCGCTCAACTGTCTAAAGCTGTGAAGCTGAAGACTACAAACTTGACTTAGGCATGATTAATACCGAAGTTCATGGTCTACCAGGAGCTACAGAGTGGTACATAAATGCTGTTGACAAGAAAGATGGCATCACTCTGAGTTTTCTGCTCTGAGACTTGGAAGTTCCCCTTGCTTCTTAAAAAGGTCCATTGTCTGGAACAGCCCATGGAGAAAAATTGCTTGAGGTCAGCCCTAAGTACATCATTATGAGTAACAATGAGTCACCAAACAGTGCAAGCTGCAACAAATTACTGGAAACAGCTTCCTAAGCCTGAGATCTACAAAGCCATAGAACATATTAAAAATGGGAAGCGGCAAAAGCCATGCTTGAAACCACCAAAAATTCAACAATGTGCTAGAGGTTAAAGGGTGAGAACAGCACGGAGGACTTGCAGACAGGCTCTGACCTACACTTCCTCTCATCTTGGGAAAGTTATCTGATGGCTCCTGTCTGCTACTGCCAGGCTCTGCATTCTGTCAGCACCTGGAGCAGGCAAGAGTGGGTTAAGTGGGTATTTCTCAAGACGTGGCAGCTGGGATGGCATGACTTTATCATGCCCTTAACCCCTGCGATCGGCCTAGCTCAGGGATACTAAGCAAACAAACAGGAATGCTGTTCTTCAGTGATGAGACCCACACAACTCTGAAGGCGACTTAGGAAGAGCCCATCACCTTCACCCTACCTGTCTGCCTTGCAGACAGATGGTAAACGACTTGGTGACCCGCCGTGAGAGCATCCTCGATAGCAAACACTCAGGTCAAACTTCTGGTCACGGTTCCAGACTCGCACAATGGAACAGAACAAGTCTGGGCTCTCGGCAGAGTTTGGGGCCATCTTTTACAACCACATTGCTCAAGGAGGACTTGGCAATGGATGCTGCCCCAGGATAGTCGGCACTAGTTGTCTTGTGGATATCCATATATCAGCCATTCCCTACTTCTAGATCATCTTTCAGGGCCTTCTCCATTGCAGCAGAGGGAGCATGACAAACCCCTCCGCGGGTGGACAAAGCTCCCACAGCAGGCAGAACTTACAACGTGATGCTGTACAACACACAGTTAGACACATACAGGTTTGCATCCTGCACACAAAATAACATGGTTCCCCAGTCAACTCAACCCTGCCAGGTGCTGAAAGGCTTCATTACTGCAAGAACTCAGTTTCTTGCCCTATCAGTCCCTCAGTGCCTTGTGCTGAGCTGAGCTCCTCCCTGCAGAGCCACCTGCCTCTCCAGGACATGGCAGGGATGGAGTTAAACCGACCTGCTTCTGTTCTGCATGCAACTGTTGTGAGAATGAATAGTCACTAACAGAGATGCTTTCAACTTTACAAACAATGAGGATAAAGCAGGCAGCATTTAAATTGATCTTTTTTGAAGGTACATCCTACAACAGGCTCTTAAAATCCTCAAACCAGCTGGAAGCCCTCCAGAGCACTTCTGTGCAGAGACTTTCAGATTTTGTTTTCTTTGCATTTGAAAGCACTTGCATACATACAAATACACAATTTAACACCATTTACTGAAGAGCAAAAATTCTTCTTCCCAGGGCTCCCAGGGGGATGAATATCAGAATAATTAATGCTGCAGGACAATATGGCTTTACCCTTATTTAGAGCAGTTACTGTAGTAAATAGCTCCATGTGGAGAAGGTGCCACAATGCATATTAAATGGCCTAACCCCACCGCATGCCCATTGAATTAGGTTGGCCCTTGCCAAGAGAAAGGTTTGACATCCTGCAGTTCCTGCAGCTGGTTCTTGTCTCACATTTTCATGCAGATCATCCCAGCCCAGTCTGGATGCTCATCCATGTTTTGGATCTACTTTATAAAATCATACAAAAGTTTGGGTTGGAAGGGACCTTTCAAGGCCATCTAGTCCAACCCTCTGCCATGAGCAGGGACATCTTCAACTAGAGCAGGGTGCTCAGAGCCCCGTCCAACCTGACCTGGGATGTTCCCAGGGATGGGGCATCGACCACCTCTCTGGGCAACCTGGGCCAGGGTTTCAGCACCCTCAGTGTGAAAAATTTCTTTCTTCTATCTAGTCTAAATCCGCCCTCTTTTAGTTTAAAACCGCCACCCCTTGTCCTATGGCAACAGGCCCTGCTAAAAGTCTGTCCCCATCTTTCTTCCAGTCAGGTCTCCCCGGAGCTTCTCTGCTCCAGGCTGAGCCCCCCCAGCTCTCCCAGCCTGTCCTCCCAGCAGAGCTGTTCCAGCCCTCGGAGCGTTGCTGGGGCCTCCTCTGGCCCCGCTCCAGCAGGTCCATGTCTCTGCTGTGCCGAGGGCTCCAGAGCTGGACGCAGCACTGCAGGGGGGTCTCCCCAGAGCGGGGCAGAGGGGCAGAACCCCCTCCCTCACCCTGCTGGCCACGGGGCTTTGGGTGAAGCTCAGGACACGGTTGGCTTCTGGGCTGCAGACGCACATTGCCAGCTCATGTCCAGCTTTTAATACCCCGGTACGCCCAAGTCCTTCTCCATGGGGCTGCTCTCCATCCCTCCATCTCCCAACCTGTGCTGATACCGGGGGTTGCCCCGACCCAGGTGCAGGACCCTGGGATATTTAATGGGATTTATTTAATGGGATTATTTCATGGGATAGATGGGAGCCACTGGTCTCTCAGCCCTTCTCCACCACACCACCGAGTGTTGCCACCTCATCACAGCACCCCGTCCAGTGGGAAAGCGAGCAATGCATGCACTCTTCACTGTGTCTGCTCCCATGAGGAACAGCTAACACAGGGTCACCCATTGTTAATAGGTGACCAGAGCAGGTATTAACATTGCTATTTGCACCATCTGCACACAAGCAGAGCCAATTTGTTACGAATTAAAGCAACCCCAGGTTTAATTTTGTTCTCTGGTTTAAACACAAAAGTA